AATAGTGTAAACAGGGATTAAATCCCAGATGTGGGATAAGAAGGGATTTTCACACCCAAGTGTGGGATATCTTGCTTGGGGACAGAGTCGCAGTCACGTAGCATTCAGCATTTCGTGGCGGATTAGTAAGGAATTTCTAAGTGCCATAAAATACCTCCGCGACTCCAGTATTACCTCAGTGCTCGCATACAAATTGGCTCATACATATTGGATGTAATTATATGCGTTCATTTAAGAATTCCTAATTATAAAAGTTCCTTGAAAGTTTATTTCCAACGCTTCTCGTTGGAATTCACCTTGAAGTTGGGTGATGATAAAATTGTTATGTTTTTTGTGCAGTTGTAGTAGTAGGAGAGTACCGTAAAGAAATAAGTACCTACAATAGAGAAAATATTCCGAAAGCATAGTACAGTACTCCACTTAGAGGAGCGAATCATCTTGAAATGAATAATGAAAAAAAAATGAAATGAAAATGCTTCTTTATCGTGGCGAACTTAGGACCTCATGGCCCTTTCTTACAGTTAACCTCTAAAAAACTAATAATAACAACGAAACAATAACAAAAAATACAATAAAGTTTGTAACATAACTAGTAATAAAATAGCATAAATCTATTCATCTTCCCTAACATACAATCACACACAAATACACCCTCTCCTCTTGGAGTCTTGAGTGATATTAGTTACACATTTTATAAGTCAGTTTTGTCGTTGTCTATAATAATAAATCTGTTTAGATACTTGGCCATTGACTTGGTGTACAACTCCACGTAGCTTATTAAAGGCTGAATTAAGGCATTCAAATAACTCTTATTAGCAAAACCAGAAGGGAAGTTAACAAGAATACGGTTTAAAAGCCAACAAAGCACCTAATTAATGTTAATAAAATCCGCTTAAACATTACCTATTCCGTCACTAAATTTACAAAGTGTGCTAAAAATAACAAACGATTGAAAAATTGACGTTGACAAGGTCAACCTTTCCATGGACGATAGTCCCTAAATACCAAATTACGCTGCAGATTATAGGCAAAATAAAACTTGAAATGAGGCCCGTCAAAATATCCGTGACTGAAGGTTGGACAGGTACAAATAACCGGAACTGTGCGATCACGGCATCTCCAACACGGGGCAAAAATATCTCAGTTGGGCTAGGATTATTTCGGTACCACACACAGAAAGTTAAATAACACCTAGACTTGCATACAGGAAAAAAATAAACATATGTAAATACCTAAAGTAAAATGCGCCTTCCAACACGTATATAGATATAAATATACTTTAGGCTAGACCTAGTGGTTACGGCAATATCACTTAGATAAAATCCATTGGTGATTTGGCGGGGTTTGGACCCGGGACACCAGGAACCGGAGTCCCGCACTCTAACCACTAGACCAGCTCGCTCCCCAATTTGTGAGGCTAGATGCAACAAAAATGCAATATCTTAAATGCACTTGTATGCAAAAGGTAAGTTATTCAGCCTAATAAAAACATGTAAGAAAAGCGGAGGAATACAGTTAACGAACACATTACACAACATTAACTACTCTAGGTATATTTAAATGTCTGTGTACAACTATATAGGTGGGTAAGAACACGAAGTGGGTAATGGAGGGGAAAATAAATATGCATGAAGGCTAGACACGCGCAGCGGCGACAGCAGACAACTTAGCACAAGGTAGCGTATAGCGTATAGCGTACGTGTGTTTAGGATAGGGAGTCATGTGGAAGCTACGTGTTTAGTCGTCAAGCAAAACACATTGAATAGGTTTACTGAAATGACAGATCAGCTTACTGTACGATTCAAAGACAAGACCAGAAAACACATGATTATACAAACCAACAGCGGATTCGATGTTGAAGTTGTGTTTTGAGTAATTACAATCAAACCACTCGAGCAAAAATTTAGCCTAAAATAAAGAAGCTAACTATGCCAAATTTACTATCAGCTAAACATGTACGCCGAAAAGAGAATACATAGTATACTGGTGTTAACTAGTATTATTACTTTCTAGCTAAAAAACACATTTAGCAGTTTATGCACACGTAGTTTTATGCTAGTTATATTTATCTAAGTAAACCTGATGATTTATGTAACAAGCCTAATGCTATGAAGAAAAACAACACAGTTAAGTAACGTTGAGAGAGTTTCAGGTAGGAGAATGTCAGGAAATGTTCCACCAAACTTTTCAACCACTTGCTATCCTTGCAGATGTAGTTATTGATCAGCCAAACGTATACAATAGAACAAACAAACTGTAAGAGCAAAAATACATATATAATAAACAACTAAAATGTAACTTATCTAAATACCGATCAAACACATTTAAAACCTTACTTAACGCCTGTCAAAGAACTTAGAATCTATCCAAGGCTAAAGAGGACGAAATCAAAGAGAGTGGACTTGTCACTCACTAAGGATTATATGGATTATGATCATAGATAAACCACAAAAATCCTAAATCTCTTACATATTTGCTATGACCTGCTAGGTACTTCATCTCAGTTAAACATGTATGCGCATTTTTCTCCCGAAACATTCCTCAAGTTCACCGCTTAACAAGTGTGGAATATGTAACAGCCTGGATGACTGACGGCGTATGTCCCAACAACGTGATCTCGACCTGTACGTAACGTCTACGTGGTTGGGTCAATCTACAATACTGTGACAAATGACCAGTGTATGTTGCAGATTATGTTGTATACATCAATTACTTTTAAAATAACACATTGAAACCACAGAACCAAAAACAAATACCCCGCCACAGCAAACCTGCAGACTAAGCGAATTTTAATTTGTCTGATTTGATTTTCACTTAAATCTATTTAAATAACGCTAGGTTTTAAGTAGGCTACCCAGCCTTACTGTAGGAGGGGGTAATTATATGACTTTTTTAGTAAAAATGGTAATCTTAAGTTAACAAATTGTTTAAATTTTCTCCGTAACCAATAACCGCACAAAAACACTTCAATGTACTAAATTATATCTTTTACGCTCTTAAAAATAATTTAGTGAGACATTATATAAGTTTATGTTTTGAGGGTCAAAAATAGGAAACCCCAATTTTCGCCACATAAAACTCCGTTCCCATTCTCCCAAAATGCTGCTTCGCGGACTCATTCAAGTTTATCCCGCCCTACACATTTAAACATATTTTTATCAAAATCGGACAAAAATATTCAAGTTATACGTTCAAGAACACATACATAACAATTTAAACGAATTATGTTTTTAGCATCTGGAGACACCAAAACATAGTACAAAGTAAATTGGTCCCGGGCCTGAGTCACATAGTACAAGACAAAGTAAATCGGTCCCGGGACTATCTAAAATGAGTCAAAATCCGCTCTGAAGCAAGACGATTGCACAAGTCTGCAATCCACTTAGTCAGACACTTGCACATGGTTGCTTGCAGGGCTTCAAGATTAGTCTACCCTAGCCGTAACATATACCATTGAGTATAAACTTAACTTAGGTTTATACTCAATGCCTATACTATACTGCGCTTACAACTACCTTCCGCACTATACAGGTTGTGGTAACAGATTAAAACTTTTTGTTATTCTTTCACGACGAAATATATATTACAGCAAATTGACAAGATTAATAAGCTTATGTGTAACAGTAAGTCAACCCCTTGCCATGTATGCTAACAAGATAGTATGCGTACAAAGGTTTAATTAGTTAATTAGGACGAAAGTTAAGTAGTAATAGAAATGTCAAGAAATGTTGGAAAAACAAGAAGGAAGCAGTCTGTACTCAACACTCTTCGTTAGTGTCGTCTGTTTACTTAACTGATCAATTACCTTAAATGTTTCGTATTCGTGTTTGTGTTGTGTTTAAATGTTTATTTATTATTTTCATTGGTTAAATAATATGAGGCTCTTCATATGAAGAAAGAAAACCGTCCTTGTACAATGGTAAAATGATGGTGCCGAAACTATAGTTGAATAGATACAACTTCAGTATCGGCGTGGTGGGGCTATCTGACGTTCAAGTAAGAGGGAGAACTGCCAGGTTGTCTACCAGACCAATAAGAGCGAGGAGAGCCTGACGCGGTTTCCATAGCAACAGGCGCTGTTGCCATATCGCACAGCAACTCCACGCACGCACGCACATGTGCAGTTCCTCCAGTGTTATGATAGATGACAGTGACTACTTCGAGTAAAACATTATACTGTCCGCGAGAGTTCAGTCTCCTAAGCTCCAAAACAAACATTTTGATGTTGGAATAGTATATTCTATCACTAGAGCCTCAAAAGCCATTTTTGCTCGTGTGCTGAACTATATTCTTCATCATGTTGCATCATCAAACCTAGCTAGAAAATAAAATAATGATTGTGTAGAGATAACCTATCAAAACTACTCCCAGCTTGTTTTCAATATAGTAATATTGTGATAGTAATATTTATACATGTTTAAAGATTTAAGGCATAGTGATATTACTGCGCAAAAAAGATAAAATTACAAAATTAAGGTTTATGTCTAAAAAACAAAAGCCGTGTGTAATACATTTTAAAGTGAAACCAATTAATCTTTTTTATGATTTTTTTTTTAATTATTTCTCAATTACAAATATACTAAGAATTATAGTGCTTTATACATATTATTTCGCGAAATTTTGAGTTTATGCGTAACTTTTTCTTTTAAAAAGGGAAATATGTCCTTTGCCTGTTTGCTCAACTCAGCTATAGTTTTTACATAGGCAAGCAATGGACAAATCAAAACAGAACTCTGTAGGCGAAGACACGAGACTGCACCGAATCAAATGACGCGACCACCCACTCATCATAACAAAGATGATATGAGTAATGATGTTTACAACAGATGTTTACAGATATATACAGTATATGCCGAGGGCCAGAGGGCAGGAACTCTCAGTAGTGCCGTTGCGTTGTCTGCGTCCAGTGTTGTTGTCGTGAGTGGTTTTGGGAATTACATGGTGTAATATCGTGTTAAATCTGTTGTTTCATATTACGTTGTGTTATCATATTAATTCTGATGGAAAGAAGAGGAGGCGCTAGTGTTAATAAACGAGGGCGTCCTCGCGTTCGGCCAGTGAGACCATCACCTTACACCAAAGTTGGCCAGGGATCTGCTTTACGCAGCCAGTCACGGGAACTTGTGGTTAATGTACGGAATTTTTTTCAGCGAGAAAAGGATAACAGGGCTATCTTAATACCATTAGAGAGGGTAGTAGACAGATCCGCAGCAGCGTTAGGTCTAAATAAAAATACAGTCGTTGCAATATGCAAGGAGAAGGAAAAACTTATTAATGAGGTTGGTAATGCCACTACGACCTTACAGACACCTGGAAAAAGGAGAAAGAAACAGAAAACCGTCACTGCCATAGATGGTTTCCAACAGGATGCTATTCGCCGGCATATATATGATTATATTAGGAAAAAAGAGCATCCTACAATTAAAAAACTCTTGATTTCATTAAGGGACGCAAATTTATTTAGAGGCAGCAGTTTTTCTCTCAAGAGTGTTTTAGTTACTTTGGGGTTTGAGTATAAAAAGTTGAATCGGAGGAGAATTTTATTGGAACGAAATGATATTGTTGCTTGGCGTTGCCGGTTTCTGCGGGAGGTGAAAGATTTGAATTTCGATAAGATAGTGTGGTTAGACGAAACATGGGTGAATACCGGCCACACCCTCGCTCGAGGATGGACTGACGAGACAACTGAAGGTACGTTAGCAGCTCCTATTGGTAAAGGTAGTAGGTTGATTTTGCTGCACGCTGGAACATCTGAAGGGTTTGTTCCTAACTGTTGTTTATTGTTTTCTTCAAAGAAAACCACAGACTACCACGAAGAAATGAACCATGATACATTTTTTAAATGGTTCACAGAATCACTTCTGCCTAACCTTTCAACCCCATCGGTTATTGTTATGGACAATGCCCCATACCATTCCAAGATTTTGGATAAGGCTCCAACACAAGCCAACAAAAAAACAGAAATTCAGGAATGGCTCAGTGAGCACAACATACAGTTTGAGGAACATTTAAGAAAAGCAGAATTATTAGAACTAAGTGACAGGTATAAACCAACGACCCCCAAGTATTTAATAGATGAGATGGCCAAGGCCCAAGGACACAAGATCGTCAGGCTCCCACCTTACCATTGCCATTTCAATGCAATTGAAATGGTTTGGGCGCAAGTCAAGGGACACGTTGCTCGAAACAATAAAGCATTTAACCTAACTGAAATTAAAAGATTAACCGAAGAAGGCATTGGACAAGTGACAAGCGTAGAATGGACGAATATCGTAAGACACACAAAAAAAATAATTTTAGAAGCGTGGGCACAAGAGGGTCTCATTGAAACAGCAGTTGAAGAACTAATAATACACGTGAATGGAGATGACAGTGACAGTGAAAATAGTGACCTTGAGGATTTTTCTGATGAATACAGAGTGCAAACTGACGAAGGGACACAGGAAATATATGTCAACCAAACGTATGCTGATTACGGAGCAGATGATAGCGATGATGACTTCGATGGAATAAATCCACTGCCATCCACATCCACTAACGAAAACGTCCTAGACTTTTCACAATATTAGGTAAGCTTTATTTTGGAGCAATATGTGTGCATTTATTTCAGAAACAATTTTGTATTTAAGATTATTAAAACTTGAGGTATTATTTATTACTATTAGTTTCTTCAGTCGTGGCCAACAAAGACATTTGTCCAGCTTGATCTTATTAGTACTTAACTAAAGGTTTTTAAATCTAACCAGTTTATAAAGATAATTTTTTATACTCATAGGTACTAAATTTTTAACTGAACATAATTTTCATAAATAAATTGACTGAACAAAATAAATAGGTAACCAAAATACGTATAGTATCATAAATTTGAACTAAACGTTTTTTGTTAAATCAGAAAAATTTCCTTCCTGGTTACTATAAACTAGCGGAAACTATCAACAGAGACGAAATAAAAGCACACAGTGAAGGGAGCTTTCACACGGTGCGGCGCGCGCCGCACAGCCCAACCCCTACGCTGTCTCAATAGGCAAACTACCTGACCAAGAGGGTGCATCAGTTATTAAGAAATTATATATCGTTGTATCAGAAAATTATATATTTAAAGTTATCACAAAACATATATTTTATATGTTTTTTAATATGTTAAATATGTTTTTTTTTTTTATTTATACGTAATGAAACATTTTTTTACTTCTAGTATACAATATTTTTAAATATGACGAATTAATTATATTTTAAATTAGCCTATTAATTTTATTTGAACTTTTAAGTAGAGTATTCACTGAGGCGTGGTTAATGAGATTTACTCGGGTTGGTAAGTTGGGTTCGTATGTCGTAATAGTAACGTTGCGTGCGTTTGCGTTGTTGACAAGTACGCTGGCGCGCATATTCTGTGTTGAAGTTAGTTGGGCAGTTCCCGCTCACTGCAGTCGTAGGCCGTCCGCGACAACGCGGCAACACCGCAACAGTAGTCTCCCCACTGCTCGCTACCCCTCCACACCACGCCGATACTGAAGTTGTATCTATTCAAGTATAGTTGTGTTTACTACAACAAAAGTGGATTGCCTAATAGCAGGTATTTGAACTTCTTTAACACGGTTTTGTGTTGTTTGGTTGGAATACTGGAGTTCGGCAAAAGTAAGTAAATGCATCAATTAGCTACTTGGCGCACTAAAAACTGTGCAAGGAAGCCCACTTTGTCAAGTAACTGTAGGAAAAAGATATTTGTCATCTTTATGAACCAGCTGAAAAAGATTGTAAGGTTTGTGCGTCTTTTAGTTAACTATATTTATTTTACTAATTTCAAATTTCGTTTCTTGTAATTTAACCAGCTTTAAAACTGGTTTAACTGCAGAGTAAACCAGATATCTGAACATTAACTCTCAAATAAATAAAAACTGTTAACTGATTGTGATTAGTACCAAAACGTCACCGACACGAAACACAAATAACACGCTTATATTTACCATAGGACCAGTCTACCATAACAATTTTTGCTTAGACTGTAACAAAATTACTAAAGGATAAAATAAAATGCGTTCATCCATTCTTTGTGCGAAATACTTCCTTATCGTTATTGCTATTATTACAACCAGCCTTAACAATATTTACAATGCAATGCTCGCTCAGACCCCCCGCGTAGTTTCTGTACTCCAATATAGCTCTCGACAAACAAAGTCGAGGCTGATGGTTAATCATAGACCATAATGAAGCAAAGAACCCCGTAGCGAGACTTTGTACTTGCCGAGGGCTGGACTACAGTGTCAGTGGGGGGTGTTGACTGTATTGCTGGCTTGGAAATAATTACAGAGTATTCAAACTATCCTGAAATGATTTATGTGACAAAAGTAGAGCAGATAACTAAAATACCCCCACCGCAGCAAACCTGCAGACTAAGCGCATTTCCATTTGCTTGATTGGATTTACACAAAAATGTCTCCTTAAAAATGTCACATTTATTCCCTATTTAAATAACATTAATTTAACAAGTCTTAGGTTTGCTGCAACAGGGAGGGTAAAAATGTGTGTTTTTTTTATGTTAATAGTTTAGAATGAAATGAATGCATTTTCCAAATTTGATCAAAATATGTTCATAAACAAGCAAACTACAACAGTTTATTTATTCTCCATAAGAATAACATGGGAATTTTAAATTTACAGTTTTTTGAAATTTTCTCCGTAACCATTAGCATTGACTATATAACACTATATAGTCTATATAACACCATTAGGCGCATAATAACGCTTCAATATACTAAATTATTTGTTTTTTTAAGCTCTACAAAATGGCTTGGAAAGAAAATGTTAAATTTTAAGTTTTTAGGGTTAAAAATGGGAAAACCCTATTTTTACCCCATAAAACCCCCCATAAACACCTGTTCCCATAGTCCGATCATGCTGGTTCGCGAACTCGTTCGATTAAACGTAGGTTTACACGTTTGTACCTAATTTCATCAAAATCGGATGAGTTTTGCTCGAGTTATTGCGCTAACGGACACATATATAAATATATATATATGAATTTGAACGGATGGTGTTTTTGGCCTCTAGGGACCTCAAAACGAAAAAGTAAATCGGTCCTGCGTCCAGGTCTTACAATGAGTACTACAGTAATAGCTTTTTCCCTATATGGGAAATTCGTTAATAATGAAGTATACAGGAATTTTATAATTATAATTGTAACGATAAATTCTAAATGGCAAAAGCTATTAATTGCTTGGTTGGCTGCTTGAACACGAAGCACATAAACATCCAACATACACATAAATGATTTGTTCAACATCTATTAGTTATATTATTTGAGTGGCACAACCGAAAACATACATTGAGTGTATTATTTGAATCATTAACAACAGCTACTAAATAATAATAGTCGTGAATTTCACTGTCTAATTTCAACTGTTATGGATATAATTTATACGTACAACATACAGGGTGTCCCAAAAACAACTGAACAACTTTGTTACAGTGTAAATATTTTACAGAAATTTTAATAAATGTAAATTAACACACATATTCTTAATTTTGTCTGTATATTTTGTCTGTAGGGGTTAATTTGAAAAATCAACATTGCTTCCATTGTTGGTAAAAAGAAAGTTAATACATCCAACTCTGACCACACTCAATGTTGCATTATAATCAGTGATGGTTTTGAAGGCGGCATCACTCTCAATCTCAATTCTCGAACATTGGCGATTTTCGACATGTATAAATTTGGTCTTTGACAAAACCCCAGACGAATATTATTTGTTTCAATGTACCATTCAACACACTGCTCTTGCACGTTCGTGACGTTTGCCTTTATGCAGGTTATGTTTTGAAGTTAAAATCTTTGAGCGACAACAATGATACAGCTGATACATGCAAATCATGTTGAAACAAAACTTTATGAGTTCCTCTATCATATTTATTTAAAAAATGATCTATGGACGCTTAAATAGATTGTACAGTATTAGGCTTTAAGTTGTTCAGTTTTTTACACCCTGTATATTGTATTACGATATACAGTACAATGTGTAATTAACATACGTTTTAGTATTGTAGACTTTAATATAGTACGAGTAATTTTAAAAATATCAGCGTTAAAAGTTCTAATTTCATCACATGGTACAGACTGAGTCATCAGGGGCGATACCTACTATCACTAATTAACTTCATATCTTTACAATATCAGATAAGGAAACATGTTTCCTTACAACCTTACATGAACTATGTATTTCAACATGAAGCCACAGAAAAAAGCTCATTCTGCAAGGCAGCCTTTAATGATTGACATGTGGTTATCCATTTTGCAGTAAATTAATTCTTTTGGACGGTTGTGTTATTGATTTGTATCGTAAATTATAAAATAAATATTTACATTGATTTATTTATGTGCATTGATCTTTTCTCCTCAAAGGGTAGGTTACATAAACAGTATTCAAATTCAAGTAAAACCAAATACAAACACAGTGATTGGTAAATTAATTTATCTCAATAAGTAGATAAATACATATAAATCCATGAATGAGAATGAACTTATAAAGAGTAAATGAGTATTTACTAGCTGCTGTAATTATCCATTTGATCATATAGTAAACAAATGTTTTTTTCATAAGGATAACATGAGGAGTTTAAAGACCACTGGGGCGGAGCACTAGCACTAGAGGAAATTACTTTATACAACGGTCTCTTCAATTTGGTGGATACTGACTTAAATACTTTCCAAACATTTCATCGTTGAAACAATTCTAACTGGTTGTTTCAAATGGTCGAAATAAAAGAGGGAATAAGTCAGACAAACAAGTCTAACATACTAAAATTAAGTATGGTTCACGATTGTAAAATAAGCTATTTATACTGAGTTTTGATTACCGGTCAAAAGTACAAAAAAACTATGGCTAGTCAGTTTCTATGTATTTTTAAATGCATAGAATAAGCAAACAAAACAATACAGTAGGATCTCATTTTCGAGAATTCTTACAAAATAAAGACGAGCAAATATTAAACGAAAGGAGCTGTTTGAAGAGACTGGAATGTCTCTATTCACAGTGAGTTTATGTAAATGAAGAAAATTCCGAGAATCTTGAGTTGTTAAAAACATTGTCGAACTGCAGTCTTCCGTTCTGGCTTATTTACATGCAACGCAGGTGCGACGAGTTGGTTTAGGTTTTACCCGAGTAGGATTTAATTTACTGCCAAAGACAAGACACACTTACAGTGCAATTGCATTAGTAGACTCTGTTGTTTGTTTTGTTTGCCAGTGAAACCATTGGCACAACAATCATTACACACTGAGAGAGTATACTTTTGACAATATATTCTGCGTGACAAATAAATTATATATTAAGTCAATTAACAGTCACTTTTGAAACCAGTAGTTTTAATTTCAGCGATATTCTAATGGAAAAAGCGATTTTTTTACTCAATATAAAAAGATGCACATACAATTTGATACATCGTTTGGTCAAATTATTTTTTTTGTCGGCAAAAAATTTTTTTTTTAACTAGTTGCCAAAAATAGTGGTCATAATGAACACTAAAAACCATAATAAGCATTCACTGCATAACTATTTCACTATGAAACTCTATG